GCCAGGCCCCCTAATCTGCCATGGTCCCCTATACCGCCTCCTCATGCTGCTGCCAGGTCCACAGTGTCTCATGGCCCAGGCCCCCTAATCTGCCATGGGCGCCTATACCGCCCTCCTCATGCTGCTGCCAGGTCCAGAGTCTCTCATGGGTCCCTGTACGGCCTCCCATTGCTGCTGTCTCCATCGCCACACACTCTGCCATGTGCCACTTTCAGGTCTCCTCACACACTGCTGGTGTGTTCAATTTTTTGACATAGGGTGCTGGCAGATTACGGGCCTCCCATTGCTGCTGCCAGGCCCGTAATCTGCCAAGGGTCCCCGTACCGACTCCTCATGCTGTGACGTTGCAACAAGGTGGAATTCAACCCTACATATGTTAGACCGCCTTTACGAACAGCAAAAGGCCATCACAGATTTCCTGATGTTAAAAGCGGATAAAGGTACTCCCCTGTGTAACTTAGATGTCAGCCATTGGCAGCTCATGCGTGACACCTGCGCTTGCTCAGGCCCTTTGAGGAGGCCACGCTATTCGTGAGTCTGCAGGACTATGGGATGAATGACGTCATTCCTCTGTTGCACGTCCTGGAACAAATGCTGTTAACAATGGCTGGTCAGGGTGCGGTAGACGTGGCGCACAGATCTCAACGCCACATGACCCCTGTGGGGGCAGGACAGGAGAAGAGGAGGAGGTAGAGGAGGACATTGGTGCTCAGGAATTATTGAGTGAAATGGGTGGTTTTTCCACTCAGCGGACAGGAGTGGAGGAGCAGGAGCATCTGGTAGAGGAGGAGGAAGAGGAGACAGAGGACCCAGACGCACCGTGGCAGTATGCTGTGGAGATGGAGGCAGGGAGTCCCTCGCATTCCTTGGCACAAATGGCCCATAGCATGCTCGGTTGCTTGCGTAGCGACAGCCGAATAATAACCATCAGACAGAGGGATGACTTTTGGCTGTCCACCTTGTTGGACCCTCGGTAACGTTCAAAAATGGTGGCCTTTTTCACACCTGCTGAGAGGGAGGCCAAAATAACGTACTATAAAAACCACCTATGTAGTCAGTTGGTCTCTGCCTTTCTGCGCCAACGTCCATCCTCAGACACTGTGGGCCCTGTGCGCTCGCGTTCCGCTGCCATGGCAGCAGGGGAGGGGTGGGGTGGTAGGAGCAGTGGTAGCTCCACCAGCAGCGGCTGCCTCAGTCTGCAGTCGATGATGAGTAGCTTTCTTCACCAGCGCAGTGAGGAAACTACTAACCAGCCGCAGCAGCAGCAGCATTAGGTGGACCTGGAGCAGGACCTCAAACAACAGGCTTGGGCCTACTTGGACAGCACCCTGCCAACCGAGGTAGACAATCCCCTTGACTACTGGGCAACGAAACTTGACCTTTGGCCACAACTAGCTGAATTTGCCCTTGAAAGGCTGTCATGCCCGGCCAGTAGCGTGGCATCGGAGCGCGTGTTTAGTGCGGCAGGAGGTATTGCAACTCCGCGGAGGACACGACTGTCCACCCAAAGTGTGGAGAGACTCACGTTTGTGAAAATGAATCAGGCGTGGATTAGTCTGGATTTCAAAACACCAGTTCCTGACACAACTGACTAAATCCGCCATGAATCATGCCCCAAACATGTGCCACTTTCAGGTCTCCTCACACTGCTGGTGTGTTCCATTTTTTGTCATAGGGTGCTGGCAGATTACGGGCCTCCCATAGCTGCTCCAAGGCCCCTAATCTGCCATGGGCCCCTATACCGCCTCCTCATGCTGCTGCCAAGTCCAGAGTCTCTCATGGGTCCCTGTACGGCCTCCCATTGCTGCTGTCTCCATCGCCACACTCTGCCATGTGCCACTTTCAGGTCTCCTCACACTGCTGGTGTGTTCCATTTTTTGTCATAGGGTGCTGGCAGATTACGGGCCTCCCATAGCTGCTGCCAGGCCCCTAATCTGCCATGGGCCCCTTTACCGCCTCCTCATGCTGCTGCCAGGTCCAGAGTCTCTCATGGGTCCCTGTACGGCCTCCCATTGCTGCTGTCTCTATCGCCACACTCTGCCATGTGCCACTTTCAGGTCTCCTCACACTGCTGGTGTGTTCCATTTTTTGTCATAGGGTGCTGGCAGATTACGGGCCTCCCATAGCTGCTGCCAGGCCCGTAATCTGCCATGGGCCCCTGTACCGCCTCCTCATGCTGCTGCCAGGTCCAGAGTGTGTCATGGGTCCCTGTACGGCCTCCCATTGCTGCTGTCTCCATCGCCACACTCTGCCATGTGCCACTTTCAGGTCTCCTCACACTGCTGGTGGTTTCCATTTTTGTCATAGGGTGCTGTATGGCCTCCCATTGCTGCTGCCTCCACCGCCACACTGTGGCTCCACACTCTGGTTTTGTCCCCGTGACTGCCCAAATGAGTGAAGTGTGCGGTGATTCTAAGATCGACGGCACTCCTCTGCATGTCATACTGACTGACAGTATTATTTCTCTTCCCCAGCAGACTCCAAGGGCATTTAAATTAAAGGTACAGTGTTCTGCACTAATATAAAGGCTCTCTGAAGCCTAGAAACACCCTTTTATAAGTTAAATTCGCAGCGAATATATTCGACTCGAATCGAAATTTTTCCACGAATTCGCCGAATCATTCGAATCGAATTTTTGAATACTTCGCTCATCTCTAATAGGCAGCACTGACTGGCAGCCCTGCTGGGCACTGATAATCAGGGGAATGATCATCAGTGCCCTGATGATCGGTGGCGATCCATCCTCTGCAAATTGCCAGTTATCTGCAGTACTTTCCTCACACTGACAGCGTGAGGAAAGTGCAGACCATAACTGGCAACTGCATGTACCGTTGATCTGCTGTGATCATGTGGTAAAAGTCCACTGTGCTTGGCCTTTTACCACATCACATGATCAGCTGTGTCGGTAGGACACAGAGATCACCAGGTGTGAGCCCCCAGGGGCACGCAGGAGGGCGTCATATGATGCCCTCCCTGGACTGTAGCCAAATGACAGCTACAGTGCAGTTGACAAGTGGTTAAACACTACTCCAAAAATCAGCATCCTTAAGGGGGCCAATAAACTCATTGAATGGAAATGTAAACAAGCATGAGCTCTTTTGGGCTTTCATTTTAACAACGATTTGGCTGGAGACCTGCAGCCTTAAAATGATACATACTGATACCAAGTGAAGTGGAGGAATGTTGCCAGTTCTGCCACACATAGTGTTGACCAAGTGTGTTTCACCTTCCCTTTGTGTGGCTCAAACCTAAAGGTGAGCTGCACGATTGGGAGGTGATGGTTTACTTTAGTGGAGCACATCATTTCTTGTATATTGATCATGCATGATATATGCATGTCACTAAACACCAAACACATTGGATATTCTGGGACTGTCAGAGTTGAGCATTTTGACGTTGGTCAGATTATGTGTATGTGTTTACATGCGTGGAATGTTTTTGTGTCTGGGAGTAGTTCTGAAGTTGCTCGGGAGAGTCTGATATGGAACGTTCGGGAGATGTCAGCTAATTATTGATGTTTGGAACTTTATTGCTCTCATCAGTTAGTTCCCCCATTTGGTTTGGTGTAGTTACCTGCTTTTCTTGGGCTGGGGAAACTGGGCCCAGGACATTTGGCAGGGATTCTACACATTTCTGTGTGGCAACAGTTTTTTACACTTTTTTGGGGGGGTTTGAACGCAATACAGTGAGGAGCCCCAAAGAAATACAGCGTGTTGTGGAGATATATTTGTGTTCAGACAGAGTTTAGCATTGGTTTGTTCTGCATTCCTAAAAGGATGCTCATTGGCTTATCATGAGTGATTATGATTGTTCTAGACAAGCACATTAATACATACCAAGATCTTCCTCCTGGCCTTGCTGCAGTGGGGGGAGCCTCTCCTCCTCCTGCTGATGTTGTGCTGTGAATAGGACATTGACATGTGAGATGATGTTTGATGTTCTAGCTGCATGTTCAACATTAGAGAGTGCATTCCCAATGAGTGCTTACCAGTAGGGAACATCTCTCAAATGAACAACAAATGTAAAGCAACACTATTTCACACACTTTCCTTTAAAAAAAGATAACACAACTTTAAAGACAATATGGACATGTGTAGTGTACTTACCACTCTGCCACTCATCAGTATCTGTCACCCCAAAAATCGTGTTTAGGATGACGATTGCCAGAAGTGCCTGCCCTTCACGAGTCAGGTGCTGAAGATAGTTGGGGTCCACACCTTCCATGGTAACATGCCCCTGCTCAGCCCTCTCAGCCAACTTCAACTTTAAATTGTGTCTCAGATCACACACGCTTTTTGATGTTCTGGAGGCTCCGGCGTATCCTCCGGCCCACTGCACCCACCACCAGGGCCCAAGTCTCATCGCGGGAGAAGGGCAGAAACTTTGGCTCAGACTAGGACGGGGCCTGGGTCCGTATGCCTCCCCTTGATGTCTCTTCTTCGGGACTAGCAGCCTCAGCTTCCACCGCTTTTCTGAAGGAAGCAGGCCCCTTCTGCTACCAGCTTGTCAGACCCCTGGGCCCCAGTAGCCCCTGTGGCAACTGGCCCAGGGGAAGGCCCAGTGTCCTGCCGGGCACCACGGCCCCCCCCCCGAACCCTGGCCTCTTCGGCCCCTTGGGGGTGCCATGGGAGGACAAGTGGGCAGAGGGTCTGGCTGGGTGCTGTTTGCAGCAGCAGCAGGTAGCCTGTACAAATGTTGAAATCTGAAACAGAAAAAGGGACATAAGGGCAAGGGTTAGTTGTCTATGCTCCAAAGACAGCACATGCCCTGATGGAAGGGCCGCACTTGCCAAAATAAGAAACTGGCTTTCTTGATCAAAGGGCAGATACATCAGAATGCTGCAAAGAGAAAAAAGACAGAAGGGCAAAAGTCAGGGATGTGGCCTCCAACAACAGCACATGCCCTAGGGGGACGACACTCACCCAAACAAAATTAAACTGGGGGACAAGATGGGGGGGAAACCACAGAAATCAAAAGGTTCAAAAATCTGCAAACAGAAAAAAGACAGAAGGGCAAAAGTCAGGGGTGTGGGCTCCAACAACAGCACATGCCCTAGGGGGACAACACTTACCCAAACAAAATTGGACTCTTGGACAGAGGGGGGGACGAACAAACATCAACACACTTAACAAAAAAAAATGCACATGTCTATGGCCTCCAGAGAAAGCACAGGGCCTGCTTGAGGGGGACCCCAAAGCCAAGTCAAAATGCCAACCCAACCAACGTGGGAGGTAATACATAAATAGGTGTAGAGGAAGAAATACTACATTTGGCCAAACACCACATTAGAGCATAAGTAAAAGTTTTTTTTTTGGCACTGGCACACTACAGGTGCTACAAACAGCTGAAATTAGCTAAATGAAATGCACACATGCCAGAAAAAAATGGGCAAATTAAGTAGAGAAGGATCAATTTGTTTACAGGTAATAGTGTTGTATAGCACATTTTTTGGTGTTTATAGTAAAAAAATGTAAGTAAAAATGTACTTGTTAACAACATTGCAATCTTACCTTTAATGCACTAGCAGGCAACATCTGCTCTAGGAGAACGCTGACTTTCCATGTGCTCTCATTTATAGTTATTCGCCGGTGACGCACGTACGTGCGCGATTGCCGTGCAGCGTATATATGCGCGAGAGCAGTTTCAACCTCGTGAATGTACATGGTTGCTGAAATGGCAGATGAGATGGTGAATCAGGATGTGAATGAGGAACATGAGGAATGTTTATATGCAGCTTTGACACTTTTCCTGCAAGCGTTTTCTGATGCAGCTGTAGCTGAAGATGTATATTGTCGATCCATAGAATTGGCTAGTATATCTGAGCTCGGACAATATTAATGTTAGTAACAGACTAAAATATCACCAAGAATAATCCACACAAGGATCCACAAATACAGGTCATATTTATTGATCAAGAAAGTAACAGAGTTTGACAGAGCATACAGAAATCCAAGAGCAAAGATTAGACCTAATGTAAGTTCATCCTCTAAGTTAAAGAGGATTTCCATTTGATTTGTTAAACAATCAAACTCAGCAGATAAAAAAACTGTAGCTGCTGACTTGTCAAATATATACACTCACCTGTCCCTCCATCCAGGGTCCTCACCATGACTGGTTTTAGCAGCCATCTTCTCTCCCTGGCGTATGCATCTTCAGTGTGTGCCCCTGGCTGTGACAGCTTGCGACTTCCCAGCCTTCCCAGCTTCCCAGTCAGGTGCCCACTGCACATTCTTGAGTAGCGCTGTGCCTTGGGAATGGTCCTGTAGCCTTCAGGGACCTGTCACATGTCCAAGAAGACTATGGGGGGAGGCCAATTTCCATTTGCCAACCCCAATTGCAGCGGAAGTGGAAGTAGGTACCTGTCACATTCAGAGACTCGATCCACAAAGGTGACAATCCTTAACCAGGAGCGGGGGACATACATTAAAGTGGAACTTCCCCTTTTGGGTGGAGCTCAGCTTTAAGTATCTGTTTGGTCTATGGCTAGAAAAAATGGTAAAAGGGGCCAAGGCTGCCAATGAGATTTATACCACTCTAAAAGCAACACCCATTCAATGCTCGTGAACCGGCCCATATTGTTCTCTGGCCAAGGAGTTACAATTTTGAAATTAGAAGGGGGCACCACTTCCAAACCCCAGGAAGTACTGTGCTATCCTGAACCCTCCAAGAAGTAGGTCATTGGCTCCCCCAGGGGGGCTCACTCTATTGACAGGAATCTTCCTGTCCTAGGGCAGCATCACAGTCCACAAGGGCCACCCTTTTGATGTCAGGAAATCAGCCATTTTGCACATTCACACCACTCGGAGATCTGGGCTCCTGCTCTTTGAACTCCAGGGGGGAACCTATGCAAGAACATCCTTTGTGAGATGACTTACCATTAGTGACCCCTTGTAGCAAACACCCTGCTGTATAAACTGATTTGCTTGTTGCCTTGCAACAGCACTAGATGGCAACTTTGAGGGCTCTCCCTCACATGGACACAGATGTTAACCACATGCCCTCTTGAGGATTTCACCCCTTCTTGACCAGGCCATTTATAGCATTAAAGCGATGCGTTACTTTCACTGACAATTGCACACGCTGCCCCCAAATGAAATGTAAATCCTTTGTATCCCACGATTGGAGCTTTCTTTGGGAGTTATTTGGTCACCTGTGTGGTTTTTAATTACTTGCTCTAGATCCAAAAAGTCATTCACTTTTGTGACCAAAGCAATATTTGTGCCTTTTTGCTATTAAACATGTCCATTTCTGTAGT